ACAATTCTTTCCTTAACCAAGATATCGCTTGAAAAGGATAAAATACAAACTTCCCCACGGGACTTCTCTGAAGGGATGCCATTTGCTGAGTAGACATTATTCTTGGGGATACACAAGCTGCTCAAATAAAGAGGCCGCCACTTGCTTCCTTTCAAAGATACTATGACATACAAGCTGCTCAAATAAAGAAGCCGCCACTTGCTGTCTTCAAAGAATATTAAAGCACACAAGCTGCTCATGAAGAGTCCGCCACTTGTTGCCAATAACCCACAAGTTGCTCATAAAGAGACTGCCACTTGCTGTCTTCAAAGAATATTAAAGCACACAAGATGCTCATGAAGAGTCCTCCACTTGTTGTCAATAACCCACAAGCTGCTCATAAAGAGGCTTCCACTTGTTGTCTTCAAAGAATATCAAAGCACACAAGATGCTCATAAAGAAGCTACCACTCGCTGCTTATAACCCACAAGCTACTCATAAAGAAGCTGCCACTTGCTGTCTTCAAAGAATATTAAAGCACACAAGCTGCTCATAAAGAAGCTGCCACTTGCTGCTTATAACCCACAAGCTGCTCATAAAGAAGCTGCCACTTGCTGTCTTCAAAGAATATTAAATCAAATCATGCTCCACGTGGTTTGTATAAATTCTCCATCCATCTCCACATATTTGAAAGGATTGAGGTGGCTTACCATGAATTCCTCCTCACCACAAACAATGACGATCCTTCCCTTGACCGGGTACTTGAGCTTTTGATGAAGGTTTGACGTTATTTCCCCTGCTTCGTGGATCCAAGGGAGACCCAACAAACAGGAGAAAGCAGGATGGATATCCATGATGTAGAAAGTAGAGTTGAAAATCTGTGAGCCCACCTTGATCGGGAGATCCACCACTCCATCAACTGTCCTTTTGGACCCATCAAAAGCCCTCACAATAATATCACTTGGTTTCACCACCAGTCCTTCGCAGTCTAAACGGTCTAAAGCGCATTTGGGTAGCACGTTTAAAGAAGAGCATGTGTCAACCAGAATGTGTGCTAGGGTAGTCCCCTTACATTCACCAGAAACATGCAGAGCTTTGTTATGGTTCTTTCCAAGTTGTGTCAGATCAGCATCTGAGAACCCCAAACCATTATCGACCGTCAAGCTTGCCACACAATTTTCAAACTGGTCAGTTGTAGTCTCATGATGGACATGAGCCTTCTTCAAGAATTTGATTAACGCCCGGGAATGAGCATTGGAGAAAAGTAGCAAAGATAACATGGAAATCTTGGAAGGGGTTTTCCCCAACTGCTCCACTATCTTGAAATCACTCCTCTTTATAATTTTCAAGATTTCATCCATTTCTAGAACGGAAGGTTCCTCAGTAGCAATGTCTTTTGCAGGTATTTCTATCTCAGCAGGCTCAACTACTTTCTCTTTTCCCCTTGTATTAGCATTAGGCATAGCAGTGGTGACGCGGGCAGGTGCTTTTGTAGCGGTTGGTGGTGAGATGTTGGGTGAAAAGATTCTCCCAGTTCTTGTCACCTTACTAGTGTCTGTAATGTTACCAATGTCATTAGCTTTGTTTTCTTCAATCCAAGCATCTTGCTTTATTCCATGGTAAAACACCTCAGCACCATAGTTCCATGGCACTGCTTTATTGGAAGAGTATGGAATTGGCCCGGGGGCGATAATTAACAGAGGAGCAACAATCGGTTCATTTGAAATCCTGATAGGACCCTTGGAGGAGATCCTAAGAGGCTTGTTTGAAATTGTTATGATGGAGAGGTCTTCAATGTTATTGGTCAAACTTTTGGCGGACGGAGTCTTCTCAAATAGGATCTCATGGCTATTCATCATTCGTTGAATGCCTTCCTTCAGCCATTTGTGTCCATTGAGTTGTTTGGCGCAGCAACCACAATCCTTCAAACAGCCAGGGAAAATCCCGGCTTTCATCATATTCTTTTTGATAATGGTCAACGGAGTAGTCAAGTCTTCGACGGAGGAAACAAAAATGGTGTCTTCAATTGCATTGACACCCTTGCCATGGTTTGGCATTGGTGCCGCTATCACATTGGGAATTGGAGGCGGATGAAATTCGATGGTCTTGTTGTCTATTATGTCTTGAATTTTATTCTTCAGTGCCCAACATTGGCCAGTCTCATGCCCGGGACTATTCGAGTGATATGCACATTTAGTATTCAGATTGTATTTAGGTGAGGAGGTGTCTGGATTGGCCGAAGGATCCCGCAGTGTCACCAAATTAGCCTTTAATAGGTGTTGTAAGGCTTGGGATAGCGACATGCCTATCCTTGTGTTTTGTCTTAGTGGAGCTTGAAACCGCTGATGATTGGAGGATTATCTTTGAACAGGAGTTGGATTGGAAATCCGGACAGCATTAACGGACAAATGGTCATCCTTCTTGGTACGGGCCCTTTCCCCATACATAACATTCGTTTCTTTCTTCCTGATGAAGGGTTTATTTATGGGATTGGAGGTGGAAGTAGATGCTATGGGAATCTTCCCACTTTTGATACCACTTTTGACTCTTTCAACGGTTAAGATTAGCTCGGTGAAATCGGATGAAGAACAGCCAACCAATAAGTTGAAAAATGGAGTAGATAAAGTGCCCATAAACATATCAATATGTTCCCTATCGGTTAACGGCGGTTGGACCCTACTTGCAAAATCCCTCCACTTTTGGGCGTACTCTTTGAACCCTTCATTTTTCCCCATTGTCATGTCTTGCAATTGAACTCTTGTTAGTGCCAGGTCGGCATTGTACTGGTATTGGTGATAGAAAGCGGTGGCTAAGTCTTCCCATGCATTGATTCGGGAACCCTCCAACTGGTAAAACCACTCTAGTTGAGTCCCAACCAAGCTTTCTTGAAAAAAGAGAACCCAAAGTTTCTAGTCAGCGGTGTGCGGTTGTAACTTGTACACATAAGACTTCAGGTGAATCTTTGGGCAGGAAACCCCATCATATTTAGCGAAGACTGGTATTTTGAATTTGTGGGGAAAGACAATCCTAGATATTAAACCCAAATCATCAAAATCCAAACCAGGGATGGCTTAAATCTCGACGGCCTTTAGTATGTCCTCTAGATGCTTCTACTTAACATCGGCGGGAGGATAATGCTCATCAAAATAATCTTCATCATCAGATGCTTGATCATTGATACACCCAACCTGGGTACTCATAGCTTCTCCAATTTGATTTTCATCTTCCTCAGACGAGTCTTCCACTACCGGTATCTTACAAATCGCCTCTCTGAATCTTCTACCCATGTTGACTAGGGCTTTCCTCTTTGGTTTCTTTTTGGATGCCAGCAACGTCATCAACTCTTGTTGCCCCTTGGCCAGGGTCACCAGAGTCTCTTGAAACTAGGAGTTTTGTGCTCGTAGGTCTTTCACTGTTTTCTCAATATCCATCTTGCTGAAATAAACAGCAGAAAGATAAGGAAACCTGTCATGGAAAACCTGTTATGATGCATGGAAGATGTGCATGCAAATTATTTCAAGGATTTATGAAATTTAAATTTGTCTAGACAAATAATGAACGAACGTCAATTTTCATTAATTAGTTCAAAATGGTTACAACGTGCCTCTTGGGCTTACAAAGTAAATTTCTAAGATAAAAAGGTCGAGCGCATCCTCTTTGGTGCAAGGTAGGCGTTCAAGCTTTATTCTTCATGTAGTTACTTTGTAAGCTCCAAAACCCTTTTCTCACTTGCGTAGAATTGAGCTTTGAAGGTATCTCGTTCTTCCTTTAGTTGAATCCAACCCTTTTGCAAGTCTTCAAGAGAAGTAGGAATGTCGAGATAGAGGACAGTGTACGGGACATCTTCTTCATCCACAAGTTCTATGATAACTGGTAGGATGGAGGGGTAAGGCATTACAAGCTTCTAAGCACGAGCTCGTACCCATCTAAGGTAAGGCTCAAGGGGAATATAATTCTTGTGTCCCAGCATCTTGCTATCCACTCTGTTTACCATCCTCCAAGCTCGTACGAACCTCTGACGGTAGCTTTGATCGTTGTTCTCGTAGTCGAACACTAGTCCATGGATAAGCATATCATGCGGACCATTCCTTCGGGCATATCCAAACTGTCGCAAAGCCAAGCAAGGGTTGTAAGTGATACCTCCCCTAATGCCAAGTAAAGGGACATTGGGGAATTCCCTACAATAGTCAATGATAGTAACGTTCTCTAAGGATTGAGAACACCAGTGAATATCTGAGTGACATCAACCTATGGGACCATCTCACACCTTGCTCGTTCTTCAACACGAATCAGGGAAGATGCGAGACAAACCACCTAGCCAAACGAGGAGTGCAACACATGAGGGTCCCTATTTTCCTCATAGTGCGGGAGTGGAGAGAATGTAGGATATCTCCTAACAGAGTAGGCACCGGATTGCGAGACATGAAGATTTTGACAGCATTTACATCTATAAGTTGGTCAGGGTTTTGAAATAAAACCATCCCATAGATGAGAAGGGACAAGATTTCTTCATAAGCTTGTAAATCCAAAGTGTTCCAACAATCTTGAGCTTTTTCAAACAAGAACTTGGATAAGAACCCTCTGACACCACTTCTTGTTTCCCAATTAGCCGTGACATCAGATTGTTGCAACTGTAGCGCTCAGGAAATATCTTTAGAGCCTGGTGTTGCACCCCAAAATTTGACCTCCTAGTTTCTTACATTTGGCTTAGGCTTAGCATTGCATTCATATCTTTTTATTAGGTCATTAACATACATTTGCATTCAATAGATCGCCTGAGGTTCAAAAGACCAGCAGTTAGGGAGCTAAGGTTTACAACTGATTTAAGGTGTATGTGTGGAATGAGCCTGATTATTCAGGGTCTTCCTGGTGTCAGCAAGTTGGGGAATTAGGATTTTGGTTCATTCTCATTTTTTGGACTTCCTCTCCCTCAAGCAGCAAGGCTATTACCTTCTGATAAACAACACATTATTTTATTATCTTCGTTTCTCAAAAACTCTATTGCATTCTTCTTTTCTACAATGACTTTTTTCACAGAAATACAACCACTTCCCCACCAATTTCCACATGGTTTAAGGTTTCTTGTAGTGGATCGTGACATAATTACTCTGAATTCCATTATAGAGATGTGTATTCGATGCAATTATCTAGTTACAACATGCTGTAATGCATCTTTTGCATTGAACTTTTTGAAAGAAATAAAGAATCTTTATGACGTGATCCTAATTGAAGCTCAAATGCCTGACATGAATTCCTACCATTTCTTGCAACATGTTACACAGCAAATCAAAATTCCAGTCATTATGATGTGTGTTGATCAATCAACAACTCCAAGTCCAATGATGAAGGCGATTGAAAAAAAAGCGCTTGTGGATATTGGATTAAGCCTTTGAGTGAAGGTCAAATCAAGAACATATGGCAACATGTTGTAAGAAAAGTTTTGAAAGAAAACAATCAGCATGATCAAGTTCTTGAAATCTTGAATGTAAAAGATTTGGAAAAAAGGAAAAGAGATGATTATGCACCTACTTCTTCTTGTAATGATAATATTAACTATCAACCTTCAACAAAGAGGAGTCGTTTTTCATGGTCACAAAAATTGCATAAAAAAATTCTTATGCGCTATGAATCAACTTGGTATTCACGAAGCAAAGGCAAAAAAGGTTATGAAACTCATGAATGTCCCTGGTTTGACAACTCAGCAAGTTACTAGTCATCTACAGAAATTTAAACTTCGTTTGAAGAGAGCAACTGAAGAGAATAAAAAGCCTAAAGTAGGGAAGAAAAATCAAAATGGGATGGTGAATTCGAGTTTCAAGCTTTGACTGTTGATTCTGCTGTTCAAAATAATGTTCATCATGAAGTTGTTAACTCAATGCCTAATTCATCTCTAGAGTGTGACAACATCTCCAGTGCACAACCTTTGGAAACATGTTGATCCAGTAGAACAATGTTGTTGATCCTTCTCATATAAATGGATTATCTGTAGCTTCAGGAATCCAACCTATTGAGAAAGGTGATCAAATCACACAAACTATACAAGGTCAAAATTCATATCCTGGATCTGGTTTAGATCCAAGCCAACCACCCAAGCCCCCAGGTTCTGCTCGTCCTTCTAATAATTGCCAATTGCAGCAGAAGGTACATTCTGGATCAACCAGCTCTTCATTGAAGCAACATAAGCCATTGGCATCTCCTTCTGACAATAACATGCAAGTTCAGGTTTCACCGGTTATTTCAGGTCATATAGCTACACTAACACAACCTGCTGCTATTGCTCCCAACCATAATAAACTACAGGTGACATTGTTTCTGATCCATCTTCTTTGGAAATATTAAAGGAGCCTTTTTTCTCAGCAAAGCTCTTACGCCTCATTGGGATATTGACTAGTTTTAGGTTGCAACAGAACAGGAAATGTATAATTTTTGTGAATAGAATTGTGACTGCAAGATCCATGTCATGTATACTACAGCAGCTCAAGCTTCTAAGTCAGTGGAAACTATTTGCAGTTACTTCGGAGTTTGTTGCGACAGAAAAACAAAACCACTCAATTGTCGTTTGAATTTTGCAATGTTCTTCAAAAGGGAAAGAAACGCCTGGGTCTGAAAGTCTTTGCCAAGACGTTTAAAGTAATTGGCAACCCATTGGTAATTGCCAAGCTTATGAACTCTTCTTCCCAAATAGTTTGTCCAAATGCTGTGTTTGTGGATTTAACAATTTACAGAAACAGAGAGCTCAATTTCTCTCAACATGGCTTGCACCTCTGCAAATTCATTACTCCAATTAAAGTGTTCTTCCCACCAGAAGCCAATTTTGAATTTGAGAAGAAACATTGCTCTTCATCATCACTCACCCGGTAACCCATCCATCTTATTCCGTAAAGAGTTTACGCATCAAAGTCAAAGACAATTTATACCTACGAGTAAATTTAGAATTATACGAGCTGTGGCAATTCCACTAGAACCAGCTCCAGTGGAAAGTGTGGAGTACAGAAAAGAGCTAGCTGAACGCTACGGTTTTAACCAAATCAGAGAACCGCTTCCGGAGACTGTTACGTTGAAGGACGTCATCACTTATCTTCCTAAGAAGGTTTTTGAGATTGATGATGTGAAAGCATGGAAAACTGTTTTGATATCAGCCACTTCGTATGCGTTGGGGCTTCTTATGATTTCTAAAGCACCCTGGTATTTACTTCTTCCGGCTTGGGCTTGGACGGGGACTACCGTAACTGGGTTCTTTGTTATAGGACATTATTGCACTCACAAATCATTTTTAACAAACAAATTGGTAGAAGACATTGTTGGAACTCTGGCCTTTTTACCACTAATTTATCCATATGAGCCATGGGGATTTAAGTACGACAAGCATCATGCAAAAACGAACATGTTGAAAGAAGATACTGCTTGGCAGCCTGTTTGGAAATACGAGTTTGAGTCAAATCCACTTTTGAGGAAAGCAATAATAAATGGATACGGTCCATTTCGATGTTGGATGTCTATAGCTCACTGGTTGGTCGTTCACTTCGATTTGACCAGGTTCAGACCAAATGAAATAAACAGAGCGAAGATAAGTTTAGCTTGTGTTTTTTGCCTTCACAGCAATTGGATGGCCATCAATTATTTACAAGACTAGAATCATGAGATGGAGTTCACAGAGGCTGAGAGAAACATGAATGATTTGGTAGCAGAGTACCAACAATACCAGGATGAAATTACAAAGGAAGAAGATAATTGGTAAGACTTGCTGACATAACCAGTTCTTCAAATGCCGGTAATGCTCCTCAAATGTTAGATATGGATACTATACACAACTTGTCCAGTCAAGTTGCTCCTGCAAATGTTAATCCGACAGCTCTCAAGGCCCAATTCTTCAACAACTTAAGTCAATCAGATTCCAGCAATTTATCAGGTCTAGAATATGGGTTTTAAGTCACGAAGATCGTCTCAGGGGCTAGCCGGAAATTCGTCTTGGCAAGGATCAGAAACTCTTACTAAGCCAAAAAGTTCTTTTTCACATGCTAGTAGTTTGAATAGGATGATTGAGGCAACAAATTCACGGAGCTCCAATATCGAAACTGGTCCTCAGCTGCAGCCAAATCTTACATTGCAGTTCTGATGATATATTATTGAATCTGCTCATTCATTTTTCTAACTTGATAAGGTCATGTCATGAGGGAGAAATTTAAAAAGTTTAAAGGATACTAGTCATATAATAGTAAAGAGGTTCATAACCAGGAAAACAGAATTCCAACTAGCATAACCACCTTGTAACAAACTCTCAATCTCACCCTTCAATCCCTAACAAACTCTACCCAAATCAATGGTTCAGATTGATTCTCACATAACCATTTCCATCTCCCTCAACTACCTATATAATCCAAACTCCCTCCAGGTTTCAGGGGACGACGTTACTCTCTCTCTTTTCCAGTTTCAAAACTTCACCATTTTATCAGCTTCAAAATAACTTCGTCCCTCTCCATCATTCACTCTCAATTTTTTCTAAACTCCCATCATCTTATTTAAAGACTTCAACGAGAATCTAAAAAAAACTTTGTACATCATCAGCATCATCCTCAATGATTTCAAAACAAATCGCGCTCGGCTCAACAACAATAGTGCATCACGCCACAACACGCACCAACAAACAGATTACGGTGCAGAACGGTCGATTCATAGAAGAAGAAGATTGAGAGGAAAAAGGTCACGCATATGAGTTGAGAGATTCAAACCTGAATACACCAGTACTACCGGATTTTTGTTCATCTTCATCATCTTCAAAGAACACCGGACCTCTCCGGTAGGTAAGCACCGTCATCTCATTCCCTTCGCTATTTTTCTCTTTCCTTTTAGCACCTCCGTGTAGAATGTGTGGCAGGATTTCTTTTTTTTTTCTGGAGAGTTGTTGTTCGTGGAAAATCGAGGAACGATGCGGAAGTTTAGAGGAGAAGGGAGATCGAAGTAAGAACGAAGGTGATGATGAAGAAGTGAAAAACACAATAAGGGGGGTTGAATTGTAAAACTGGAAATCAGTTGCAATGAACACGATATTTTTATCCTGGTTCGTTTGATCTCAAACTACTCCAGTCCACCCGTCAAGGTGATTTCGCCTCTCTCCAACGAGGTCTTAATCCACTATATTCAACTGAATATTACAATCTGCTTTAACAACTGCTAAAGCCTTCTTGATGCAAACCACAAACCGGTTTCTCAAGGAATCACTTTCTTACAAGGAATTGAAATCTAGGTGTGTGAATGTTTTCTACAAAACTGTTTATCACAACTTTGATACTACACAACTTAAGCTTATTGAAACTAGATTGCTAAAATAATTGAGTAAGGAATTTTGGAGCTTTTAGCAAACTGAGAGTGAGGAAGATGATGAATAGCTTTTAGGCGTGTAGATTGATGTAGAGCATTAGCCAATTCAATCTTCATTGACTTGTTTATATTGCATTGGAATTAGTGTACGTTGGAGCAATAATTCTGATTCAATGCCAATAACAATCTTTCCTTATTAAGCAGATCTTGTCTGGAATGATGTTGTTGGTAATAACTCATCTTGAATGCACAGTACCGTTGCCACTTACGCGTGTTCTGGCTTAGGCTCATTCTGACGCTGCTTAAGTGCTGATGAACCGTTGTTGTCTTTATCAGAGTTCAGAGTGTTTAGCGCAGATCTGTTCATTAAGCTTCAGCATAAGCATGAGTTGTTCTTCTGATTCTGGTATCTGATATAGCATCTTTTGATGCTGATGTTGATATCTTAATTTTCTGATGCTGATTATGATGTACTCTTGCTGATACCCATCAGAGTTTCTGTAAAACAGAAAGTAATTTTTAGGCAGCAAATAATTCTTACATGAATCGCATAATTAATATATCTTTTCATTTTGTTATCATCAAAACTTAAACTTAGGGTAGTAGATTCAAACTTTGTTCTAACAATCTCCCCCTTTTTGATGATGACAAAAACTAGATATTTTTAATTGAAAATTAGCGAGAAAAGTATCAGAGATAACTAAATGATAAGTTACATCAGAATTAAATAAGAAGTTATCAAAGGTAAGGGATAAAGAGATATCAGAGTTAGGATCAGAGATACTCCCCCTGAATTTATTACTTCCCTTTTTAATTCCAAGAGTTCTTCAGGATCAGATCTTTATTGATTTTTTGAACATCAGAATATTAGAGCTTCAGATCAGAATATCAGAGCTTTGACTATCAGAACTTCAGATCAGAATATCAGAGCTTCAGAGCTTCAGTGTATCAGAGGTGATTACCTTCTTGTACCTGTAGACTTATGCAAAAAACAAAAAACATATTCAAGTATATCAGAGTTAGAATGTTTGAGACTTTTTGTCTTAGTAATACGTTATTGAAAAATATCATTCTT